CCATCGAAAATTCAATAGAAACGTGTGTAACATGTTATTTTTTCATTTTCTATCACGGTATGAGGAGCAAACTTGGTCTTTTATAAGAGTAGTACAATTTGAATCTGAAGCGGCTTTTATTTACAATAACATAACAAAAGTTTACAAATGACATAACTTGTGTACAATATATTATTAAATATCTCTCTATCAAAAATAAAACCTTTTATATTAAAGTATTCTTCAATACAGAGACAAATCGACTTGATTTTCTTGCTTTCTAAAATTCCACGGTACACAAATAAATAACGTAAATATACAAAAAACGAAGTTGTAGATTGCCGTACGTAGTAATTCATATCAAAAGAGAAAAAAAACGTTTATAGAAAATACATGCATATCGATTCACACAGGCAAATGGAGAATGTCTACCGTGTCATATAACACTATGAGAGGCATACAAAAAGCGTCGATAAGTGATGAGCATATTTAGAATGAGATAGTGTTCTTAGTTATTTTTGTTTTAAAAATATGACTAAAACACACAGTACATGGCAGAAAAAAGTATAAATCATCCAAAATGAGAAGGTATAAAGTTATTCATTTTAAAAAAATACAAAAAAACAAAATAGAATATATTTTTTTTTTATAAAAACAAAATTCGAAAACAGATTAAATTAGCAACAACAAAAATTACTCATTCACTTTTATATTTTTCTTTATCGTCATTTCTTTCATCTCGATCTAATTGATTTCGAACTCCTACGAGAAAATTTTCAGCCGCTTTTGTTGATGTTACAAATGGTTGTACAGCAACAGCTGGCATTTGTCTTAACAAACCGCCTACAACACCTAAAACACCTCGACGTCTTTTTCCGATTTGTGCTTCTGTTTTTAATGTATGCGATGTGGTACTTATACTTTCTCGTACAACATTAACAGCATATGATACACCTTCTCGAATATCATTTGGAGGGGGATGTGAACGAATCATCATACGATTATTAGATGAAGTTTGTTGTAGTACTAAGGAAGATGTTATTGATGAGGAAGACGGAGATACAAGTTCAAAACAAAGTAACGCAGCTATATGCGCACAATGAACTAAACGATTACTTAATTCAATAATAGCTAATGCTGTTGAGGTAGTAAATGATGATGCACCACGTTGAATACCTCGAATAATTCGTCCATCTTTTCGATATTGATCAATGGGTAACCAAAATAGATCACGAATGCCTTGAACAATTTGAGTAATAGATGAGATGGGTACAATACCTTTTAAAACATCCGTTGGACGTATATCATTTAACCATTCATTTAGTATAAATGTTAACAAACGTTCGTAGCCAAGTAGGCCACGTTTATAGGATATACGTTTTAGATTTAAATCTACTTTGTTTAATTGAGCCAAACCGACTAACAGATTTAACAAAGGTCCTTGTTCAAATAATAACTCATTACGTAGTTTTCCATGATAATCTAGACGTATTGGAACCGATGGTGAAAATACAAAATGTTTAATAAATACAGATGAACCGGTCGTTGTCGATGGCGCCGGTGGTACTACTGGTGGGGCTGTTAAAGATTCTGAACTTCGAGACGCATGAGGAAAAGAGTTGTCAACAAAATCGTTGTTTATTAGCAAGTTCTCATGTCCTAAACGATAAATGTTTATGAAAAATAACAGTGTCAATATTACAGAGAATGTAAGAAATCAGGGAATGTATACATAACATACCCTAGAGAATATGCACATCCCCTGACAGTATTCAGAACATTTGGATATTGAAATTTCTCATGGAATATAGCGAATTGATAAATTATGTAGTCAACTCATGTCTGAAGTTAGAGCAGAAAAATGTTAAGTTTTATTTTTACATGGTTTGGATGAATGACAACGAGAATTACATGAAACATCATTATTTTGCATTTCTACCTATTAGTTAAACAATCCAGACGACAGTCACAATAAAACAATCGTTCTCCGTCAACTGTTGATTCATTAGCTACAATTGAACGAAGCGGTAATGATGTACCATCAATTGCAGTTAGTTTTAAAATTGTTTCATAACGTTCAAGATTCTTTCATAAATTTACAAGTAATGGACAACTCTGTTATCTCCATTTATACACTCTTACGCATAGGATTAACTTTTCAAATTGATCTTTCCGACTGGTTTTTTTCAGTTGTTTTACTTACAGATCAACTCAATCTAATTAGTTACAGATTAACCGTTCAAAGAACATATCAATCGCACGTTACCAATAATTACATAGCTACATTTTATCTTGTTCAGTTGAAACAATAACGTTTTATCATGTCAAAGTGTTGCACCGATAAGAAAGTGCATAAGGTCGAACATAATTCAGAAGCAGATTATTAAATTTTACTCTTTTTCTGCTTTAACCTCAGACATAAGTTATCTGCATAATTTATCAATTCGTTATATTCCATGAGAAATTTCAATATTCAAATATCCTGGATACTATCAGGGGATGTGCATATTCCCTAGGGTATGTATAAATTCCCTGTAATATCAATATATTAAAAAAAATTTCTTTTACAAACATAAGAGCACTCAGTTTCAAAAATAATTATCATACTGTCAAGTATACCTGATAAATTGGAAGGTACTTCATTTGAAACGGTGGACGGATTACTTGCAGTTAATTCTGTAAAAAATCGACGCATAAATACAAGCGCATCCTATAAACAAAACCGCTAACAATCAAATGTCCAATGAAATGACATTTCTATTTACTTGATCAATATTGATACGTAATGGTTGCATGGAAACTTTAATTTCACATTCTAAAAGTTCATTAACATCAGATGTATCGTTATCTGATTTTTTTTCATTATCTTGTAAATGCAAATCAAAACCTTCCGGTTTTGTGTGAAGAACTTTAATAATCAACTAAAACAGGCAGAAAAATGTGTAGTATCCATTACCAGAGACAAGATAGTTAATTTACCATATCAGCATGAGTGCGTCTTGGTAATGCTTCTGTTGTATACAGATGAAGAAATTTATTGATTTCTGAACGTGCAATTAGACGATCTCGAATTTCAAATTCATGCACAGCAAATGCAAAACGTGAACATTGTTTTTCTTTATCAGGATATGCTTCATATTGACATCGAGCCTGAATAGATAACATAAAAAGATTGATAAATTTTGAGGTAAAAGTAAGAAAACATACAACTCACTTTCGTTATAGAAAATTCCATACTTGTGTTAAGATCACGAGACGCACCTCCTCGCTGCCGTCGATTTAATTGGTTAGGATCATAAGTATTTAACAAGCGTCCACCAGCTTTTTGTGATGGCATAGATAAATTTCCACTTGTGATATCACTAAAATAACAACAGTCGTTTGTCTTTGAAAGACAAAAAAGTAACAGGCTCCACATACTTGGATGTTGTTGTACTAAATCGCACCGGGCTATTATATAAAATGTTCATTAAGAATCTTTTAAATATGTCAAATATTTGAAAAAAAGTAATTGACAGACGTTCTACAGGTTGATTATCTCAAAACAAGTGCGAGTTATATGCTTAGTTTAGGGGGAAAAAATGAGAGTAGATCCGGAGAATGTTTAACAATAAATAAAAAAGATCTAGCGTTCAAAACATACTTACAAACTTCGCATCGGTTCTTTAATCATCAACTGAACAAGTGGTTGATGACCGTCATCTAAAGGTTAAAATATATAATGTTAAGATAGTACCACTCAGAATTAATACATATAGCACGAGTACCTGATTTTTGTTTTTCTTTAAAATCGCTGCCACCGTAAATATACCATACTAGCGATAAATGACGAATAGAAAAACGAAATGTTGGTACTGGTAAATAGGATGGTGCATTTAATATATCATTACGTTCCAATGGTTTAGAAAAATGATTCTCATTAATATGTATTATTTGATCAGTTAATACATGTATTTGACATACTCCATCTTGTGGCTAAAATTAACCACTGTGTCATCATGTACATACGACACATGCAAAACTTTAATCAAATCACTTACAGGTCTTCCCATTCCAATTTCGCGTTCAATCATTTCAAACTCTCGAAAATCATCATTACATCGTCCTCTTTCAACATATCGATGATCTGACGATAATCTCCGCTGATTTCGATGATCAACATTTTTTAATACCTTTGACGGCAACGATGGCGACAAGATAGATCCATCACGATAATGATCGGATGTTTCATTCTGTAATAATGGTGAAAAAGCTGGACCTCCTTCAAACTCAATATCCTCTTCACTTTTAATCTCATTTTCACTATCGGTATGTTGTGTTTCAAATAAATTTGGTGGTAATATGTCTGACTGAGTCATTTCCGTAGTTGATGAAGAAGATGCGATGTTTGTTGATGAAAGTGACTGTATTTGACGATCAGGAGAAGACGTAGTTGACGATATAGACAATGACGATGATGTTTGAGTACGTATATCTACAGAACCGATGAAAAGATATTTTGTTACATAAAACAAAATTTGGAAAGATTTGGAAAATTAATTACCTGGCTCGTGTTCTTTCATCGCTTCCTCGAGCATCATTGCTTGTAAACTTTCTTGACTAGCTTTTTTTGTTTCTTCTAACAGTGTAGTTTTTTTCTAGAAAATAACATTGAAACAAATGTAATTTTTCAAAATTAATAAAGAAATATCCCTACATTATCATCAATATCTTCATCACCGTCAAACGTTTGGCCAGTAGATAATTTAAGCGGTCCTTCACGTTTTCTAATTGTGTTTGTTTGTATGTTTTCGGTTGATGGCTTCTTAGGTTGTTGTAAATCCCCATCTGTAACAATATATTTCAATAATTCAATTAGCGCTGCTGCTGAATCAGAACATGTTCGCAAATTGATCATATTGCAAGAGATTTTAATATCAATCAATGGATTTTTCTACGATAAAAAGTAAAACCTCAAATGAATAATTTTTCAAGAAAATATGTATTTTACAGTCATAGTAGCTGATTAAAATAATTTAATAATATTCAATGCAAATGTAATTACCAAAATATCTTCGATCAAATCGTTAAAACATAATTTAATTTCAAATGCACCACCATTCACGACACACACGTAATCTAAATTATAAAAATTGAATAAACACAACAATCTGCTTAATTTGTTTTCGTACCATTGTGAACATCAATTTGATATCTGTCTCGTTTTTTTGTTAAATATATTGCCCAGTCATCCAGATTTAGCCTAAAAATTTGCATGAGTTTTAGTTTCTTCTCTGATTTTCCATTACATCAGTTGAAAGAATAATGAGATGGAGATCGATCAATCGCTGAAATGTGATCTTTCGAAGTATGTTCAAAATCAGAATGTTGATAAAATTAAAAAATTTTATCACAACAATAGTGTAGTCGCATTTTTTTTAGTCTATGTTGAAAAATAATGTGCAAAGTGTACATACTCAAGTAAAGTTGTTTTACTATTTTTCACATATGTACTAGCTAGTGTTAGTGAATCGATAGCCACAAAACATTTCACATCAAAATACAATGGTCTAAAGGAAAATAAAGTTTTATTAATTTATCCGTATTAAGTTGTTTGAGGATGGTACTTGTAACTTATTGCACAATGTCGAAATTCTAAATGCCATTCAACCAATGAACTCGATGGTACATAGCCAGGTACTTCATCATCAGTTAAATCGAATAATTCAATTAACTAAAAATACGGATGACAAAAATGAGAGACAAGAAGGTATTGTGAACAAAAAATATTACCTGTAAAAGCCAATTTTCAGCTTTTGGCACAATTTTTTGATGTAACATTGCACCTTCAATAGTGAATGAACCACGAATAACCTAAAATAGAAATGTAATTTAAAATTTAAATAAAAATCAAAGATTTCTCATGAAAATTACCTTTTGTTTTCCATTTGTGCGATCAGTATCTGTTCGAATTTCAAATGCAGCTCGTATCATAGTACCATCGTTATTATACTTTGGAAATGTATTTGGCGGTATACTTCGAATTAATTCTGGTAGTGTGCGACTTATCACGTCAGATAAATGAGCATTGGCTTTAATGGGATAAGCATGACCTGGAAAGTCAGATAGAAAATATAAAAAGCAACGTGTTAGAATAATTTTATAAAATTTTGATGTTACCATTATGATGAAGTGATGCCGATTTCATCATTAGACAAAAATATTGTAAATTTGGATCAGAATGATAACCATCAACAATAGCTAATGTAAAATCTTTTCCATCAATTCGAAATTCACCGACATAACCTGTCGCTGTCTTCTTTTCTGTTTCATTTGATTCATCCTAAAAATTAAGCAAAAAATGTTTAGAAATTTTGATCACTATCGACAAAATATGACGCTACATACTGTAGGTGGTAGTGGAGCAAAAGCGGCAATATGTAAATCTTTAATATTCAATCTTAATACCAAATTATGAGCATCATTCGTTTTTCTCTCACTCTCATCGTCCATATCCTCATCATCATCCGAAATATTTGTCTCTGAATCAGATAAACCTAAAATACACCATAAATAACGTCGAAAAAGTTACAAACAAAAAAAAATTTAATTAACCTCTATTAATTCCAGATTTACACATTTGAAATTTATCATCGGATAAAATATTATCGTTGTTATTCTGATAATAGAGTGAATTGTACAGACGAGCTTTCTGATTATCATTCATTGTTGTCGTTGCTGAATATATGTAATCCGTGTTTGCATTTGACCATGGGGCAGAACTTTCCCACATAAATAAATTATTCACAAATCTATTTACAAAACGATAGATTGACGATAAATAGTGGTGCTGCTATCGGGAGAGAACAGACGAATAGCCAAATATATACCTGTTATAAATATTTTCTAAGAACTTTTGATTGGGTATATACAACATTAAATAGGGTATTAAAATGTGAATATACAATTTTGTTTCTTGACTACATATGGATAAAAACTGGTGCATTTCATCAGCTTCAGCAGCAGTTAACATCTGAAATTATAGAAACTAAATTTATTCAACTGATTACATTGATCGATACCTATAATGTTCATACACACAACTGAAACTAAAGCAGTCGATGAAATAGGAAAAAATCATCTTTACCAAAGTGTATACTTAGTCTTATTGTAATTTTACCTTTCTATTATCATACAATGCATTTTTATTTGATAATGGTACTTTATTATCCGTTGTTGTTGTTAAACGACATATCACTGATTCGCATAATGTTTCTGACATACGATCAAGTTCATTTGAAAAATTTTTTGATAAATCTGATGAAGTTATGACTAGTCTAAACAAAAGAAGTTCGTAGTGTTATCTTTACAAATAGTAGTTTGTTTATACTTGATTATTTCATCATTGGCGCATTCTACTTGTGCTATATGTAAGCGTTCACTCGATTCTATACCATCTAGATAATAAACTAAAAAAAACGAAAAACATATCATTTTACCTTTTATTCTTTGACTAAACAACAAATTCATTTACCTTGAACAGATTCGGCTGTTACTTCAAACTTATTTTCTGCTGTTTCATCTAATAAAATATCAGATTTAAAATGAAGTTTTTTCAACTCAAAACTAAGAAGATCTTTATGAACGGTTTGTATCCACCATGGACGACGTTTTAACAACGGTTGTAAATCAGGTACAGGAAATCTTAAGAAAAACCACAAAGTCGAATTATTAGTTGAACATAATTCATTTTCTCTCACATACCTCAAATTGAATGTACAAAATGGTGAACTAATGTCGAGTATTAGCAATGAATTATCATTTGATTCATATGATGTTCCATATGATTTCTAAAAAAATTGAATAACCCGTAGAAAAAATAAAATATTCATGATAAACAGGAAACTGGAAAGACAGCTTTGCATCAGATTCAAATAACTAAACTGTTAACATTTTTAGCCAAATATAACATAAGACTGAGAAATAAAAACTCCTATTCGATTGGAATTCAAAAACCTAAAGTATACTAACGTGAGAGCCAGGAGTGTGGAAATGGCCAGCGGCGGCTTGTGCCATTTGATGATGTATTTGGTTGACTTGACATGCTTTTATCAGACAATGTATCCTGTCGATGATTGATACATCAAAATTAATTTGACACTGAGCAAGACGTATATTTATATCAGTGTATGGACGGAGCGATAATAATTGTCGATCATAGGCTGTTCTCGGTTTTTTCTAAAAGAAAACAGATAAAAGTTAAGACAACATTCAAGAATGAGTTATAATTTCATCTCACTTTTGAACTGTTTATGTCGAAGCTTGAGATATTTATTTGAACAGATGATGTTATACTATTCACTGATGGAAATGAATACGATGATGAGTCGATATCAGAACGATTAAATGTTAAAAGCTGAAATAGACAATAAACGTTTTACAAAGTCATATTTTAATGTGAAAAGAAGAATACATACTGGATTATAAATTATATCAGTGTCAGATGTTGTTTTCTGCTGTTGTACGCTTGTCGTATTCTCTTTTCGAAGACATTCACAAACATCAAAAAATCCCAGCTTTATATCCAAATCGAAACATAGACAGTTCTGAGCGCTTTGCTGAGTAAATTCAAGAATCAATGGCTTGCCAATAATACTGAAAGAAAATGAAAGGTGAATGACGGTAAATTCTCATTATATTTTTGACTAACCATAGATGATCTTTCAAGCATGCATTCGAATATTTTTCACGATGTTCAGTAATTTGTTTATCTGTTAATATACCAGATGTATTTATTGTTGATGTATTCGAAAAATAAGCGTCGGCAAATTCTCTAAGTGGTGATGATATTGTTGATGTGGATGTTTTACAGTCATTTAACGGCGGTTGCAAATCACGATGTAACAAACACATGGAAATAAAATTGAACTGAAAACGACATTTTGTTATTGCATACGATTGTGTTTGTTCAAATAAACGACGAGAAGCTTCTGCAACGAGAAAAAAACTAAAAATTATATAAAAAAGGATGTACTTCAACATTTACCTTTTAAACGAGTAGTGTCGAGTGTCGGTGTATTTACAGAAGTATTGGAAAATCTCGGTTGACCTAAAGAGTAGCATGCTTAAAGCAAGCGGAAGAGTATTGTTATCTCGACATACTTGATATAGATGCGTTATCATGCCGACTGCTTGTATAAGATGATTGAAGGTCAATACTAGCTGACATCCCTTTTGCTGAAGTGAACATGGAATCAGGGATTTCTACAACAAAGCTTAAAACATAAATACCTCATAAAGACAAAATTACTCATGCACTGCATTACCTCCGTAATCAGTATCGCTAAAATTGTAAAAATCCGTTGTATCAGTACGAAGATTTTTTATTCGAATTTCTTCCGCAAGAGTTTGTTGAATGGTTTTGAAATCATCCTCGCTCATTGGACGACTTTTTGTTTTTATTTTTAATTGTCTGTCATCTTCTGACGTACTACTTAACGCTAAAATAAATTTAATGATTAAATAAGCAAACAAACAAGCAAATACATTTCTTTCTTACCAGCCTTCTGGTATGCTGTAACAAGTATAATCAACGATTGCAGTTGTTTTGGTGTTAACAAACAATTAACTGAGCCACAGTGTGCTTCGATTTCAAGCTGTAAAAAGAATATTTGGAAATAAATCTGTCATATGTTCATCCTGTCAAAGTATATCAAACTCACTTTTGGACCATTGACTGTTTTAACTTGATTAGACTGTTTTAATTTTAATCGAATATCTTGTCTGCCAGATATAGTTAAACAAAGTATGGGATCATACGTGATATAACCAACCATTCGTGTTGTAGAAGAAGAGTCATTTGAGACAACACTCGCTGTCATACTGTCCTTTAATTAAAAAATAACACCCATTTTCATACAATTCATTAATTAATAAATTTATTTACTGCTATCAAGTGATTTGGCGATGAAAATCCAATAGATGATTCTGTCATTGAAGTTTTTTTTGCGTATGTTAAAAATTCATCGGTGTATAAGCTGACACCACTTAATACAAAATTTTTATTTGTAAATACAGTTGGACGGAGAAACGGTTTTGAATCAGTTGGTAAAGTTAAATCGATACTAGCTTCACTGTCAAAATACTCAAACCTTTCAAAGAAAAAGAAGTGTCATAATTTAAAAAAACAATTGCTTTGTGTTTAACTTACTTTTTAACGCGAATTTCCAGTGCAACTCCATGATCATCATCGTTAATTAAGTGTTCCAATCTAATCACAGTGTCAGTCAAAGTAACACGAACACGTGCCAGTACTGGAAGAAAACATAGAAAAGTGTCTCTCTTTCACTGGTTATTGAAATTAAAACAGTTTATTTACTTGAATCAATAGTTGCTGCAAACGTTTCTAATCCTTGATAACTTTGATCTTCTTCTATTTCATTTTTTAAACATTCTTGTGCAATGAGCATACTCGTATTCATACTATTGAACATGGAAGATAATTCGAAACTTGCTTCCGTAGGGATAACTAAAAAATAGATGACAAAATATAACAGGAGTATAGAAACAATACAACACTTACCCGATTTGTTTGTCTCTTTCGGTCGAATTGTTATTTCAAGATCTCTAATATCGAGTAGAGAATTATCTTGAAGTAGTGATGTCCACGGAATACTTAAGTTGATTTCACCAACATAAGCTTTAACTATTTCGAATGGAATATTATTATTTGTTAATGACTCATTTAACGCCTTAAAAAATTATAGTAAACATACATTTTTTAATCACAATCAAGAGAAATATAACTTACAGTTAAACTCAAAATGACATCTTTTACTTGACCACGGCCAGAAAATAAATCGATCGATAATTGATCAAGTGAAAGTTTTTCTTGGAAGAAAAATCCAAGATAATGTTGAATTAATTGACGACATGCACGTGTTTTTAAAGTGGTTGACCATGGAAAGAACCAACCAGCCATTGTGAAAGATTGATATTAACGTTTTTGACTAGACAATGGATAATTTAATAAATATAACATAAGTGTAGAGAGATGATATAAAAAAACAAAAGAAAACAATTAGAAACTACATTAGATAAAAACAATCAGAAGATGATATCAAGCGTCATAGTTTGACCTTCACAGCAAATGATGCATAAAAAACATTACACTGTGCAACTTCTTTTTAGAGAAGATAAAACTTTTATGCTGACGAAAAACAAAAACTCAGGATCATTTCATCAGTATTCTTAAGTAGTTGGTGAATTTAAATAAGCACCTGAATCTCGACTTATTTTTAACTAAGAGTCGGCTTGATTCCTGATGTTTTATTAAAGTGTCAACTTTACCCGGCGTTTTGAGTTAAGATTGTCTTAACGCACATTAGTACTTCTCAAAGTAATGCCGTAAAACGGCACACTAAAACAAGCTAAACGTTGACTTAAGTTCATGAACTTAAAAATATAGAAGAAACAGGCTTCAGAGAGACGTCATACATAGTATCCACACTCTTGATTAACATTCAATATTTTTCTTCGTAAAATGATTAACAAATAATGTACATAAAACTGCACAGTTTACACCTAACGTTAAGTTCGGCTAAGAATGAAAGGTAATCATGAGTTCAATTCCAACTTACCCTCTAATTCTTATTTCTCTTAGGTAGTTCAGACGAAATCAAAAATAAAAGCTAATCTGAGTGTCTAATAAGATGAACTACGCGCAATGCAAGAAGACCCTTCCAGAAAAATTTCCTAAATACGGCGCTACCAGTATACATAAGTCATCGGCACTGTGATGCTGATTCTCAAGAGTGCCGATATATTTTCACCAAAAAAAGTAGTGCACTGAATTTTACCGGTATCGCATTGAAACTCATTTAGTCGGTATATACGTTTTATTATAGTTGTTTTTATTTAATTTATTGTTAATTGGAGTGTGGCACTGATAGTAACACATTGCCACGAAAATCTTAAGAGAAGAAAAAGATGAAGTCTAACAGATATTCGAAATATTGTAAGTATACAGTGGTGTTTTTATAAACAGTCTTTGACAAAAGAAAACCGATGTTGCAAAATAAAATTTCGTACTGGTGCGTATCGGTGTTTAGAAAAAAAATTATTCGACATGTACACAATCATTACGGATAAAATTATTTTTGCAAGAATGTCATTTTCAAGTTCACATGAAGACTTCTTGATTAAAGGGAAAAGGGGTTATTTCTGTTAAAAAGAATAGTTTTTAGTTACAAAGATTTTTTTACAATTTTAGTATGATCTTCCAGAACAACTACACGCATAATTGCTCAGAATTAGTCTGACTTTTAAGTGCAACAGTTTTCTTTTGTATTTTTGTTAGATTTGTAAAATCAGTTTTGTAGCGTAGAACATGAAATAATCAAAGTAACCGTGGAAAGGCATCTCATTTTGACAACCATCGACTATACTCTGATGAAGCTTAAATCGAAAATAAAGTCAGATTTACAGAAGCAAATCTTCTGATTTTTCTGCTTAACCAGAACTTTTTCATCTGTCTAGGCATTACTTCTTTAAACATCCATTATTTTTGTAAAATAATAAAGTTCTTTCCGCTAACACGCAGACGACTCTCTTGACATGTGCAAGAACGAGTTGTCTGCTATATAAAAGTACCAGAGTAATCACTAGCAGATAACCTATTTAAAAATAATTAATAAAAAACGATTGTCTTGATTATGTGGAAATATGTTAACAGGGGTAAATGTTTGGATAATTGAGTACTTTAAGTACCCTGATGAAGTATATTTCGGTATTTGACCACCTAAAACGGTACTAAGATATACTTCATCAGGGTACTTAAAGTACTCAATTATCCAAAAATTTCTCATGTACTTGTGACATTACCAATGCCAGGGTACCCATTCGGATATCTTGTCATTCACATTGTTCATATTTTAAGCTGTTTCTAATTTCTGATATGCTGGTATAAAGTATGTTGCTGCGTCTTTTAATTTTTTGATTGTTTCTCGTTTCTTATAATTGGAAAAACTGTCTCATTATGATGTGAGTGGTTCTTTACTTTCTCTCGTCTGTTGTTCTCAGTGTGTGCATATTAATAGAGGTGTCAGCCGCGCTGCCGTCGCCGCCGAAAATTGTTTTTGCAACTTCACGCCACCACCATAGACAGAATTTGTTTTTGAAGTTCTTCGCCGCCGCTGATCCGAAACTTCTTCAAAGAAAATTTATTGAAAATTATAACTTTTTTTAAAATTTTCATGCCGCCGCCGCCGCCGCGCCAAAGGCGAAAAATGTTTCTTTAGTTTTTCGCCGCCGCCGGCGATAAAGTAATCGGCTAACACTTCTATATATTAATAGTTCTATTCCTTTCCCTTCCGTTTTTCTAGTATAACTGAAGGTAGTGTACCTGGAAGTATTTGCTTCTTTTTTAGATCAGTGACTTGGCTTCTTTTCTTCCGCATAGTGGTAATTATAGGATACTAAAAAATTTACCCGGGTTGGTTACCCGAGTACCGCTATGGGTGAACATTTTGGAGTCGCACATAGCCTACAGTCTTCCTCTTGATGAATGTGGACTCCATGCAAAGTTTGGTTGCTCTGGGATGAACCATGCGGATTTGTATAGCTGAACAAACAGACAAACAAACACTTTAAATTATAGTATAGAAGTACCATGATCTAGTCCTAGGGGGTATTTCATAAAAATTTTTAAGTGCTGGACTTAACTAAGTCTAGACTTAAGTCTCCGTTTTGTACACTTACGTGTTAATCTTATACACTTAAGTCTAGACTTAGTTAAGTCGAGCGTTTTAAGAACTTTTATGAAACACCTTCCTGATAAGTTAGTTATAGCTTACCAGAAAAAACATGAAAGCAAAAAAATAAAATTAAAATTTACTTTTACTTTCGCGCGTTTGAATGAGATTATGACCGATAAAGAAAAGCCAGTGGTAGTTCTGTAAAACCTTCAGCATAAAACTTTTCTCTCATATATTCTTCTTATACTGGTTGTGACAGACTGAGCACATCCTCACTCTCACACACATCTACAGTAGAGGGTGTGCGCAACCTGTAGCAGTGCCACAAATCCTAACTAGCACTGGTTTTCCCAAGTAGTCAGCGAAGCAAATCTATACTGCTTGAGAAAATTTTTATCAGGTATATATTCCAACCAGTCAGAATGAACTCTTAACAAGTTTTCCATGCATAATTTGCTGTTAAAATAGGCCCTGATTGTTGGTATGTCTTGTATGAACATGTTAGCACACTTCATCACGCTACCATGGAAAAACGTCGAAGGAATGAATCGTGAAAAAAAATCATTTTAGAAATTGTTACAGTAAAAATGTAGTAATGTTATGTTTTAGCTGATGTAATACAAAAAAGGTAGCGGAGATCCATTAGAGGTGTAGCAATACCACGGTGAAAGTGTAACGATAGATTTTCTCATTGCATTGCCACACAACAGTTTTTCGATGATTTTGTCGGATCTGCCTCGTGCTTGATCGTTCTTACACGAGATTGATTTGCTAAAAAATGCTCCAACTAGAAATGAATTTTGAACCTTTAGTGTATCGATTTTAACATAGACTTACAAATAAGTAGATACGTATTTGCTACGTTCTTTGAGGTTAAAAATAAAATGATCCAGTAACAGTTGTATTCAGAACTCTGATCATTGCTGAGCTTTCTTTTCCTAAACCCACAGTAATCATATCTAAGTAGTAGAATATCAATAAACTACTATCATTTCTTTATAAAATTTTGGAAAAAACCTATCAGTTTATTTTGTATAAAATGATGATCTTTCAATCATAGAATGTATAAAAAATACAATGTGTAACTTGTTTGACTAAAATAACTGATAACAGGCTTCTTTAGTATCGTATATATGCGACATCTTTTCAATTTCTTAGTCGTTCGTTTATTATATTCCAAAGAAAGAGTAGTACCTAACAATGCTTCAAACTATTCCTTGGGCAGTTTGGATCGATGGATGGTGTCTCCAGGTCGTTAGACATCTTTTTTCAATGTAAGAACGATTAAATATCTTTCTCTTCTTTTCTTTCTTTTGTTTTTTCGAATTATTCAACCGTGAATAAACGATAATCATATTTTTTTAAGGAAGTGTATCTCATAAAGATTCTTAATTCTAAAATATGTCTAAGAGAAATATAAGTTTATATTTAAGTTGAACGTAAAGTGAGTTTTCTTTTATTCTACTCTACAGAACGACATAAAATAAAGATAAGTGTACCTTAATCAAACCTAAAGATTAATCTTCACTTAAATTGGAATTTAAACCATACTTTAGTCAAAAATAAGTTGGAAAAAATTCAGATAAATGCAGAACCTTAGATTTGTCTTCATACCATAACAATACTATTTACGCGGAAAAAGAATTGCTTAAAGTTAGATTTAAGTCTGACTTGTATATTTATGTGAAATACATCCGTCATATTCTCAAAAGCATTAGACACATTCTAAATTATGTTCCATTTTTCGACATTTTTTTTACCATCATTATTTTCTAGATAATAGTAATAATGCGATCATTAGCATCAGTCAAAGAAGAAATTCGTCTGTTAGAACAAAAATATTCAACAGACAATGAACAATTCCAAATATTAACAGTAAAATCTTTTGAACATATTATTAGTACGTATCGAAATAAAAAGTTAAATAATTCAATATCAATCGATTGTGCAATACAAGAACCACTGTACAAATGTTTTTGGTTTAATAATGATAATAATAATAATAATAATACATTATCCGAAGATAAAGAAACAGATGAAGAACTAGCAAGAATATTCGACTATTTAAATCAGGACGATGATAATAGAACAGTAGAACAACAAATTGAAATAATTATAAATCGTCTTAATGATTATTTTAATAATAAAACAATTAAACTTTCAGTAGATCAAGAAGCCAAAAATGAAGGTAATTGTTTCTAGAACGAAAACGAAAAGTTGTTCATTAGTGTAAACGTAAACAAACTGCAAGTACAACTAACTTTTATTATAAGCATTTTCATTTAGATTCCGGCAATGATGAAGGATCCAATCGCCAAGAAGAAGAAGAAGACAGAAGTGACGGCGATGAAGAAGAAGAAATTGAAGACGATAATGATGAAATATTAATTGAAGAAAAAGACTATAAAAAAGAGATGATTGATGGTGAGTAGACGATTTATACGTTTTGAAAAATGGATATATTATTTACCACTTTTTTCAAGGAATAAGTGTGGAAAATCATCAGTTATTAGAAAAATTAAAATATCGTCGAATTAATGAATTATCACAAAAAAATCATCAAAAAATGTATGATAGAATGTTTTCATCCTCTACAGTTTCCTCATTAAATTCTCAAAAGAGCAGTACAGCTTCTGCAACAGCAACATCGTCACTACAATCAACATCGATACAAGCCACAGATCGTTTGATGAAGGAATTACGTGAAATATTTCGATCAGAGAGCTATAAAAAAGGATATTATACAGTGGAATTAGTTGATGATTCTCTTTATGATTGGAATGTAAAAGTACGTTTCCTGTTTTATATTTTGATACCTCAATCTATTTGATTTTACTCGAATTTGTAGTTGTATCATGTTGATAAAGATAGTAAATTATATACCGATCTAGAACTATTAAAAAATCATGAAAAAAATGTGAACAAACTAGGTAACAAAGAAGTGCTCATTATTATTATGTCAAACTTTATGAATTAACTCTTTCTTTAGATCATATATTATTGAATTTATCATTTACAGACAATTATCCGTTTTCACCTCCATTTGTACGTATAATTAGGCCCATTATCACAGGAGGTAAGCTTCTAGAAATATAATTTTTTTGTTTTAGTTTTTTAGTCTAAATTGTTCAATGTTTTTGCTCGTAGGTCATGTTTATCAAGGTGCAATTTGTATGGAAGTGTTAACAAAACAAGGTTGGTCGAGTGCTTATAGTGTGGAATCATTAGTCTTACAAATTTGTACAACAATTGCTAAAGCACAAGCTCGAATCGATTTTAATAGTATAAACGAGTCATTTTCATTAAACAAAGCGTTATCAACATTTCAACATATTAGCGCTATTCATGAAAAGTCAGGATGGTCCACACCTCCTTTGACCGAAGGTTGAACATTGGCGCAAGCTGAAAAATTTTTTAATATTGTTGTTCCATTATACATATCAGATTTTTTTTGTTTCTTTTTTCTGTATGAAATTTACATTAACCATATCAAAAGAAGAAACACAAAACAATAACTGTACGTTTTTTCATTTTTCTGTAGTCAAAACTTCTCTCGTCTCTCGTCTCTCATGCTTTTTGCAATAAATTTGATATCTCTTTCTTCGCCTCTTCCCAGTTCTGTAATAGTATTTTGTACATACGATATTTGATTCGAAAATTTTTTTCTTATATCTGAAATTATCAGTTTTTATTATTAACAAAAAGTTTCTTACACCATGTATTTCTGATTCTTTTTTTCTTGGGTCCAAACTGACGCTGTTTTTTGTGAATTTTTACGTTGATTGTTCATTTATTGCGGTGTATTTGAGTCATGAAAAAATAAAAGATATTTATTTATTGTGTTTTCGTTTTGAATTGAATTAGTTTTTTTTCTTATTCTATAGAATTTTTCTTGCTCATATGCATGACAGAATGTCATTCAGCAATTAAAACATAGTTTACTTTACATTACTTACAATTTTATTTACACAGGTAACATATTTCAAACTTTAAAGAAAACAAATGCCTTTTTTACAGCATTTTATTACACTACAAGAAGAACTGTTTTTTTTCTCGTTGAGATTTTTTAATAAAAAACGAATGAGCATAAAATACCTTGAAAATTAGTTTTTGTAAGTGGCACAGTATTGTTGTCACAGGCATTTCGTCATTTTTATCCTGTCATCGTGATTATTACTAAAAAAGCAGTTAGATGGTACAAATAGAAGAATAAATATATACATTTATGTTTTTCTTTCGTTCTTTGAACGTATTTCACTCAATACAGAGAACGAAAACAAAGAAAATACTTTTATTCGTCCATTTGTATTTAACTGTTCTTTCTTTAGCCGTTATTTAGGTCAACATAACTACCGATCAATGTATGGTAAAAATTACTTAGAAATTAACCTTGAATAATACAGATTTCAGTTGAAATATTATAAATCAAATGATAGTGATTAGAGTTTAATATGAATTAAAAGTAGTCAGAATAACTAAATCGTCTTTTTATTTCAAAGGTATCCTTTGAAGAATGACAGAGGCACAAAATACGTCTCATGGCGATTGATTTCTTTATGGTGAATTTATCTTCATACATTGTTTTATTTGATTGATAACATAGCTTTCGTTTGGTATTTTTACAGGGGGAGGGGGAATTTCTAGGAAGAATAGTATGCGTTGATTGGTAATATGCTTCTGAATAATATAATGCAATGAGCCGTCTCAGAGCAATATTATGTTGCTCAAAAAGATAGTTTTTCAAGATGTTTATTCTTACTAGCTTATCAGACTTCTAGTACCCTCATGGGTAAATGTACGCGCGAAATGTTCACAAAATCTTTTCTTCTCGTATTTTTCGCACATAGTCACAAGTATATATCGCAGGATAGTTTGTGAACATATATGTTAAAGAAATTTTTGTTTATGAATACGCTTGAAAGTATGAAAAGGTCACACGTAGCCGTGTATTTGATGTTGCAACTGTATAATCCCGACGACATGAAATTTTAGTAAAATTTTCTCATAGAAGTCCGATCATATTTTACGACTGGAATGTAATATCTTATTATTAACGTCGCTCAGATCGATAAGTTTCTCAAGATGTTCCAGTAATCGTCCTTCTGGTAATTTGATTAAGCCGTGAAGAGAGAAGTAGTTTCCATCTCTTATTTTAGATTTCTGTGTTTCATAAATATTGGCAACACTTTTTTTTCCTATTCCATAATTTGAAGTTACATTGCAATGGTGCTCTTTCAATGGTGTTCAAATCATTCCGTTTTAGTACTATTGTGATTATCTTTATTTTAACATATATCGTATTATCTCTTATTTATTATCTTACATATTATCATTCTCATTTTTACGAACGTTTTGAGAAGAATGAAATAGAAACAACTGACGATTCGGAATCTAATGAACCCATAAAAAATAATAAATTTAATGGAACTGATTCGAGAAATTATCAATTGTTAAAAAAATTAAATGTTAGTTTTGTTACAGACCCCAATAATTCAACGAACATTATTCAATGTCCTCAAGTACCACCTGGTTTAGGTCAGATGAAATTTAAAATTGATTGTTCAATTGTTGGTGGACATTTGTTTTTCTAGTTGGTCGTGTGGAAGCTGATTTATATTCTTATACAATTGAAGAAATAGAAAAAGAATATAGTAATTTGGGTCATGGTGGTCATTGGTGGCCAAAACATTGTACATCAAATCATCGTGTTGCAATCATTGTACCATATCGAAATCGATTTGTACAATTTAGAATATTTTTATATTTTATGCACAGTTTTTTACAAAAACAATTATTAGATTATCAAATATTTCTAGTTGAACCAGTATGTATGTTTTTTTTCATATATTGTACCGGATGGTCCAGGGAAAATGACGGTGTCAGTATTTTGACTATAACTTTTTTTCTTTTCAACCCATAGACATGATTGTTTTTCCAAAAGATGCGCCGTCAACTTCGCTACAAAACTTAATCAAACTGATTTCTAGAGAAAGTTAAGGAGAAAAATTAAACGAAGAATACTCAACACGTAGAAACGGTCCAACTTTCTAAGCTATTTTGATTTACAAACTTTCAAGTATTTTAAACAACTCTAAAGACAACGAAGCAGAAGTGAAAATGTTTTCGAGTACTTTCAAGTGCGCTCTTTCTCGTCATGCAGTTCAAAGTTCGTTCGGATCAAAATGAGCAGTGAAAAATCTAACATTCCAAAATTTATTTCAAAGTGACCAAAATCTGCTTTTTTTCACCAGCTGAATTTAAGAAGTAAACTTTAAGGTAAACTTTCGCCGCTGAATTTGGTACAGGATTTATTTCTCGTCAAAATTGAAAAAACCTAAGCTCAAAAGATGCTATTTTGGCTTCGTTATGCGACGTTTCCAGGAGCTCCGAAACTACAGAATCAAATAGTAGAATTTTCGGAAGTCTCAAGAGAAAATCGATGGAAGTCTCAAAGATTGATTCAGCATTTGTTTGATAATACTGTTTGATAGAGCTTTTCAGAGCTTTAAAATGTGTATGTTGTCTTTTATATCACGCATCTCAATGAAAGTAGTTGGACAAAACGGTTTTTCAGCTTAGAAAGTTGGTCCGTTTCTACGTGTTGAGTATTCGTTTAATTTTTCTCCTTAACTTTCTCTAGAAATCAGTTTGATTAAGTTTTGTAGCGAAGTTGACGGCGCATCTTTTGGAAAAACAATCATGTCTAAGGGTTGAAAAGAAAAAAAATTATAATCAAAATGCTGACACTGCCATTTTTCCTGGACCATTCAGTATCTTTTCATCATTTGTTATTTTTAGCACAAAAGTATAACATTTAATCGAGCATTATTATTTAATATTGGATTCACAGAAGCTCTCAAAGATTACGGATGGGAATGTTTTATATTTCATGATGTTGATTTAATACCACAAGATGATCGAAATTTTTATTATTGCCCGGTAGAGCCAAGACACATGTCCGTTGCTGTGAATACAATGAATTATCAGTATGTATTAAAAAACTTTGAATAATCACATTCAATATTATGGGAATGTTGCCTGCTTTTAAGATTGCCATATAGAACTATCTTTGGCGGTGTCTCAGCGATGACTCGTGAACAGTTTAGATCTTTAAATGGATTTTCTAATGTTTTTTTTGGTTGGGGCGGTAAGTTAAATCGGTGACATAAATTTTCTTTTAAAAGATGAACATTCATTTTATCTCTTCCTTTTTAGGTGAAGACGATAGTACGTGTTAGAGTAAAAAGCTTGAAATATATTTCAATTGCATTTTTTATTTTTTTTAGACATGGCTTCTAGGTATTTGTACATTATGATTTTTCTGTTGTATTTTGTTTCGTTTTGCTTCTAGAATAATGCAGAAGTATCGTATATCAAGATATCCATTGATCATTGGACGATATAAAATGCTTCGACATTATAAAGATAAACCAAATCAAAATAGGTTTGTATTTGTACAGTTTGTTCGATCTTATTAAAACACATTATGGAAACTATTTAAGCCGTTTCTTTTCAAGTCTCTGAGAATAAAGAACTTATCCATCGCATATGAATTGTTGTCTAGAAAGGCTTGTAATCTTGTTCGTAATATAATTATTCAAAAGACAAAATTTCTTCTACGACAATACCATCTATTTTAGATTTCGCTTATTAAACTTGACCTCTAAACTCCACAAGACTGATGGCTTATCTAGTCTTCAGTATAAATTAATCAAAACAAATTATTACAACTTGTATACACATATCACAGTACTTTATGATGAGAAAACTATTACAGCAACCGTAACTAGTTTGTCAAACCCCAAAACAGGAAAGATATAGTAAATCTCATAAGTATAGTTCTGATTTTAGGTGCTGTGCTGCTTAAAGCTTTAAATTTTACTTTTTTTGTTATTGTTATTGCCTCATCCGTCTGCTGGTGGTATACACACATTTCATTTCGTTAACTTTTTTTTGAATTTTTATTTGTTTTTTTTTGATTATTTTTTCTTTCTGCCGTTTTTTAACAATCTTTTACAAAACTTTTTTCGATTTTTTGCTTATTTCTCAAATGTTCTTCTCAATTATTAGTAACATTTTTATCCACCGTTCATTTGCCATCATCATTGTGAAAGATATAATGCAAAAACTATTTTAATAATAAAAATATCTCCATCTTATCACAGTTGTTATTCAGAAAAGTGTTTGAATATGGAACTTGGTTATTTGTACCCGTTGTCAGTAAGTATGATTTAGTTAATGAAAGTCGCGGATTATCTTTCTAGTCAGTATAAATTATCGTCTGATCGAAGTTTGAGTGTCTTTTTAGTTAATATTGGATGATGATGGATATAAGAGTAGATTCTTATTTGTAAATAATAATCAATGTCAGACTCCACATAGCTGTATATTCTGGCTTTGGTTTTGTCTCTTTAACTCAGTTTATCAGAGGATCACTAGTATGACTAGAGGGATATATCAATAGTATTTTGACTATTCTCAGTAACGGCTTGTGTTCTGGAATATGAAACCGAAAATATTTTAGATGAACAATACTCTGCGAGAGCAAAAGCACCTCGGTAACTCATGAACCATGTGTGATAGCTAGTGATTTACCAATCATTCAACAAATGTGAGCCTCAATGGTCTCTTTTACTTCATGGTTCATGATACATAAGTGTTTTCATTTTCTGCAATAAAATGCTAGGAATGTCTGACACAAAGAAGATGAACACTTTCTTTTTTTACTAAAGTATCGCCACGACTGTATAGACGATGTAGATTTCATGCGTTAGCTCTTAATAGTCGCCGAAACACACCTATACTCTACGATGGTCGATTACTTTTGATATTTGAAGTCTAGAATGGCAAGGGTGAGCAAGTACAACTCTACATTCAGTGTGGATCATAATTATGCTAAAATATACTGATGAGAACATATGGTGACAATACAAGTAGGTGAAATGTTTTCAGTAGAGTTTTGGACATGTAGCACTATTTTGCACTATTTCATCTGTTAGCAGTTACATCATTGTGATTCAGTGTAGAAATGAGGGCAATCCTTCAGCTCGGTGTAAGTTTGAAGAATTTTTTTGCGAATCACAATGATGTGACTGTTAACGGATGAAATAGTTAAAAAGTTTCTACATGTCCCAAACTCTACTGAAAACATTTCACCTACTTTTATTGTCACCATATGTTCTCATCAGTATATTTTAGCATAATTATGATCCACACTGAATGTAGATGTTACAGTAAAAAAGGACGATTCGTACTTGCTCACGGTTGTCATTCTTGGCTTCAAATGTCAAAAGTAATCGAGTATCGTAGAGTATAGGTGTGTTTCAGTGACCATTAAAAGCCACCACATGAAATCTACATCGTCTATACAGTCGTGGCCATACTTCAGTAAAAAACGAAAGTGTTTACTTATATAGCGCTGGAAGCATAGCAAATAGAGTCAATTTTCTTGGGTCTGGTTTAACAAGGGAGCAGTATACATCATTTAATGAGGATTTTTACGTGGATTTTAAATATGCTATCCCTTTTCCTGCACAACTGTTGACATTTGAAATCCTCGTAAAAGTTCGCATTAAATGATGTATACTGCTTCCTTGCTAAACCAGACCCAAGAAAATGGACTCGATTTGCTATAGTAACACGTTTGATAAATCGGCACAGAGTGTTACTACTATACCAGGATGATTAAGCTAAGAAAACACGGTTTCACGCTGAAGAATTTAGAGTAATTATTTTTTGTCGAAGGATAGTCTTAATTATGTGATTAAAGGACAAAATTGAAAGTTTTATACTGTTATGCCTTCTTTATTTACGACACTCAGAAGCGCTTGTAAAGTAATTCATTTTAGCTATGATTATAATTCGTTTTACAATAAAACTTCGAAAAAACACTAAACAACGCTATAGATGAATTCGCTTCTTCTATACTTGTTGAATATGAGGCGTTTGAGGATATCCGGCGTACAGAGACATTATACGATTAAAGGACTTTGTAGAGCTACACTTAAACATTGTACATACATCAAGATTCGACACACAGTCTCCTTGGAAAAAGACTACCGAGAAAACAAATTCAAAAACTCAAACAATTTCAATAGTCTTTTCAACAGTGCTTTTCAATTAGTCTTCTAACTCTTCTTGGTGTAAGGATATGGGCTATATGTAGTTTTTTTATCGTATTTAAAAGCGTTCCAATAAAAATATTTTTGTTAAAAAAGTGAGACTTACACAATCAGTTACGAATCAAAACGACACAATAAATTTAGAGACAGAAATGAAGACCTCATGTACGTAGTCAAGCGAAATACTAGCGAAGACATACGGGCAACGATATACAATGCATATCCCCACCCTAAATTTTCGATGAAATGGTTCCTGTTGAGATGAATGTAGTCACGGGCAAAAAGGAAAAATTAATTTGAAGAAAGCAGAGAATATATGACGGCGCTTCTGAGTGTCGTAAATAAAGAAGGCATAATTCAAAACAGTATATTCACAATATAAACAGCATATTCACAATTGTATTTTCTCCGGTTTCTCTTTTGCGAAGATCAGATAGCCTTGTATTCTACGTAGTTCACGCCATCAATTGAGCCTTAAAGAAGTAAGGGACTAGTCATCAATAAAATAAAATTTTGCACCTCGCCCGTTCCGCGCACATCGCTCCCTGCACGCCCGAGCCCCGTATGTTTCATTTCACTGCTTTACCCGCTCCGTATCGCCCGTGTGTCGACACTATCCGTACTCGCCCGAACCCGTGCAGATCTTGAAGATTCTTGCCCTGCCCGCCCGTCGTCACATGGCCCCATGGGTCGAAACCCGTGGACCGCACATCTCTGATAGAAACCGATATCCATGTTGTAGTTCTGCTTAACGGTTTCGCAGAATGCGCATGAACATTTTTTCTCTGGTGCAAAATGTAAATCCGTTTCTTCATAAGGCCAGTTTCTATTAGGAGCAAATGCTAAAATCGATATTCGTTTTGTAACCTACGGATTTGTTTTAGAGAGTAGGCAATAGTATACCCATTCTAGCTAGTTTGACAGTCCAATAAGCCACATTATTGTAAGCTTTTTTATCATCAACATAGATCGTCAATATTAGGGTATTTCCAGTTAAATTATTATTTATTTTCTCACACATAGATAAAACTTGAGTTTTTATACTGTTCGCTTTAAATTGTCTAGAATATATCCTCAATTTCATGGTTTTTTGCGCTTTCTCTCGTTTATTATCAACATATTTTGCTACTTTAAGACAGCATCAGTGATATATTTTAGCGAAAGTAAATGTTGAGGATTTGATTACTTAAATTTTGCGACTGCATTAAAAAACGAAAACAGTTGATAACCTTTTTCATGTGACCATCTTCGTATTGTAACCACTTTGAAAAAGTCTCACAGATTTTACTATAACTATCTCGTAGTATAGTATTACTATTTACTGCTATCACCACTCGGAGATGTCAAAAGCTAGGGTACAAAAAAATGTAATTACAACAGAAAATATAAAAACATGAGCTAGATATGTATAATAATAGATAAATTATAAACTACTCATCGATAAAGTTAAAAATTTACAATGATTTGATCAAGTAGAAGTTAAATATACAGACTAGAGATTGGAAAGTCGATTGACTGAAATAGTGGGCACGTTTGTAAAGAAAAAGGAAAACTGTTGAGTATTTATTGTAAAGTTTGAATGATCTTGAGTCTTGTATGAGAGTCACGACAAGAGTGAAAGAAGCAAAATTAACGAAGTTTTGTCTAAAACTACAACTAGAGAGAAAGGTCTTCTAAGTCCTTCCAGTAGACATTGAACGGTTTCTCCAGAATGATGTCGGAATATTATCATAAAAGTGTATTCTGCAAAGTGATTTACCTATTTGACATTTTATTGTCTTTTTCATCAATCAAGAAGTGTTGTGCTCTCTTTCGAATCAAAAGAAGTAAAAGAAAGAGACTAGAAAACACATTGATTGTATTTTCGAATGTTGCTTCGAATACAAAAACATCTGCTTACTTTCTTGTTTTTTACAATATACGATGAAAAATATAAAGTCGTTTTTTTTCCAACTATTTATTCTGTCCTTAGCCTTTACAAACTTTAATTATGATCATTGGCTTATGGACGACTCAGTGACAACATTATTTCGAAAATACATATATTAATATTGATAAAGATGCGGCTACCTCTTGATTGCGGACACTTTTTTTGGCCAATTAAGGAAAAATGTCCGCAATCAAGAGGACACGAAAGATGCAACTTGTTGTACGTATAAAAGCAATCCTGTACACTTATTCAATATAAGTGTAAACGATAATCGTGTCCACTATACTCCGATCCATAGCGTCCATTACTGTGTACTTTCTCTACAATCAAAAACATGTAGACAACGCTTACAGTTGGACAATTAATTGATAGTTAAAAATATATGCTTCTAAATGAAATTTCCTAAATATATCGGCTAGTTTTCGTGTCATAAGCTTGGTTCTTTCTCCATTCAATTCAGAAGAAAATATTACATAATGAGAACTCAGCATATTATTCGATAAATATCTTGTTAAGTAAAATTATTAATCATTTTTACTAGTAAAAATTCTAATCAAAATTCTATAGATTTTTAGGATATCATGAAATTTCTTTCGTTTTAGGAATTAAGAGCCGTTTTTCGCATATGTTAGAGATTCTGGTGCGCTGAGCAAGTTTTAGCTTTAGAATTCTGCTAAAATTGCTTTCAGGAAGCCTGTAGAGATTCTTGTTCGAAAACTTCATGTGTTTAAATAGATTGACTCTTTTTACTTCATGTGGGATAAAAAGAGTCAGAACCACACGACTCCCGTTTGAATATATCTGGAAAACTAACACGGATTTTCTAGAAATTTCTGTGCCACAGAGTGTGCACCAGTCAGCTCTATCAGTTTTGTTGATATCAAACTTTTTTGGTTAAGAACGGATAAGAAATACCGGAATTATTAACATAATTTCGAGCACTGATTCGTTTTATCTCATAGTACTCTATGTGTTTTGTGAGTCTAATTACGAAATAATTAGCTCACCAATAATAAAAACCTAATCCGAGATCGTTCATCTACAACTGCTTTATACTCAAATCATTTTTCTTCTAAGCTATGCCATACTGACTAACTGAGAATTGATGGCTACCTCAAGGTACAAAAGTTTGATTATTAATCATCAGCTAGATGAAACCATCTACTTTAAATTTTGACTCCAAATTTGAGAGTAAAGAAGCTATATTTTACTCTGACTTCTACCAAATTTGAGTTTTACTTCAAAATTTACTTTACCAAAACCTTAAGACGCCACTGTTAGTCACGCAGTCGACTTACTCAAGTAATACAATAATTATTAGAAAAATGAGTCAACAATGTTTAATTTTGTATATAACTTAAAATTCACAAAAGAAAAATCAATGAGAACATATCGTAATTGACGTTAAAATATATATAAAAATGTATAGATATATATTAATATTTTGTGTTGGAAGATAAAGAAAGTCAATTAGGACTTCTTTCGTCTGAGAATAGAGAAGAAGAAAAAAAAGGAGATAAATTCTCGTAAAAACTAAATAAAACAATAAGCTACGCTTTTGACTAGTATAAATTTCATTTCTTTTAAACAGACATATAAAAAAAAGTGAGAAAGCTAACAGCAAGTGTACACACATCGCTAATTGGGAACTATTGGCACTTTTTGTAGCACATTCCTTTTTAATATTGCTGATTCACTTATCAAAGAGAAATATTTGATGATCTAGAAGTGTTATTATTCTTGAGTGTGGCAATTATGAGATAAAATTAGCCTGGTTGATGCGAGATAACTACAATTGACAATTAGTTAATAAATAAATAATCCATTGTCCGATTCAGTGGTAAAAAGATCATATTTTCTAAACAGGATAAATTTTAATTGATAAAATCTGACATATACACACTGCATATTCAAGATTATTTTTCTTTCTTCTTGAAATTATTTTTTGGTGAAAATATTTAATGATTAATATATTATTCTTATGATAAACGAATATTTTTACGAGTAGAATTTCTCCTATGAATATATCGACGATAGGGAGTATGTATTGTTGTTGCACTATCAACATGTACAATTAATGCTGAGCCGTTAGGTCGTTGGTATTGTGGTGGATAATGATACGGCTGATACATAGTTCTTTGAAAGTGAAAATATTGTTTTGTCATTAATCGAGTAGTTATAATGGTGGTAGTAGTAGTAGTAGTAGTAGTAGGAGTAGTAGTAATGACTGTACTAGTACTCGTTGTTGTTGTGTGAATAGGAAGTTTAAATCTTAGATGATGATGATTGATAACTATTTTGGAATGATTATTATTATTTCGATTACGTGATGATAATAATAGTTTATTTTTATCTGGTTGACTAGAAATAGTGAGAGAAGGTTGTACGCGATCCGTATTAATTCGAACAAATGCTAAAAACTGTAAATAATTATCATTGTCAAATTTTTTTCGTAAACGGGTGTGACAAATGTTTGATATTGATATGTAACCTTTTGACGATTCTTCATAAAATAAACGAAATGAATCCCAACGTCCAAAATCAATGTCTGAACGTCTACTTTCAAAAACACATTGTTTTTCATTACGATTAATCTGAAGAAATAAAAATCTATTTAGGTTTTACATGACATTAGATATAGAAGAGAAAATTGTCTACCATGCCAAATAATTGGTTGTGTTGACCACATAGATAAAGTTTGGAATTTTTACTTTGTATTAGAAATAGATTTACGGCGACTGGAATGAACATAAATACACCTGCAAATAAAGAAATAAAATTTTAGAATAAATATATTTAACTGTTATTGGATATAGAACTTCTAACTTTGGAAAATATTAAATATTTGTATATTCAGCTACAACTCCAGCATTAGACATACTAATTTTTTCGGACTTTTTTTCGGACTTTTTGTAATCAAGCTTTATTTAAGTTTGAGTTTACACATCAAAGATATTAGTCTGTACTGTTCTCGCAACTTTTTGTTCTTTACAACTCAGTAATTGTACTGTTTGTTCAAAGTAAAAATATAAAATTCAAGAAAAAATAGTGTCTTTATTGTGTTCGAATGCACACTGTTTGATCCCTCTTTCAGACGTCTGATAAAATTGTTTATAATAACGAGTCAAATGTTCTTTATAGACTCATGGTTAATCAAGTGTATTTATATTTTACGGGTATTCTCTCTAAATAAAAATAAACATCACATTAACGCAAATTTGGATAGAGAGCAAACATTTTTGAATATTATTTTTTTGTATGTGAATTTGATGACATTAACTAATATAATAAGAGAACGACATCATTTGTCTGCGTAATCTGTACAATGTTTGTATTAGTTAAAGTACAGTGTTCTGGAAAATGACAATAGTACTTTTATAAACAAAAAAGAATATAAAACATTTACAAAGTGTACTTAACATTGTACAGACAGAACATATGATAATTTGGAATGGAGTAACATTGCTCCTCTATTATACTCATAATACATCTCTGAGGTTATAGTATCAAGGCATGGTAATGGGCTGTTGAATGAATAAATGATTAATGACATACACGGTATTACTTTGAAAAAACAACTGAATCCTAGCTAATGAGAAATTTATCTTCAGCCTTAGTTATGTTTACATATTAAGGAAGAGAAAACATGAATTGTTAAAAGCATGCCGTTATGCTAATTAAGCGATTACAAAATTATCAATAGATATATTTCAGAATTTTGTCGTTACAAAAAAATTACTTCTTAATAGAAAATACTTCATAAAAGTATTATTATTATAGATGACGTTATCGATATTATCTATACGTTTGTCACTAATCTCTGGTTTTGTAAAACTCAAATGTATATATCGTATCCAGGCGAAAGAGTATCCGTTTAGGATACAAAATTCGGAAAAATAAATAGTTTTTGGTCTTTTTCTTAAAGATATTCGTACTGCATGATACGTACACTTTACGTAGAGGCTTTTATAACAATATTTGGACAATATGACCTCTTTTTATATGCTGTATATGTCGGAGTTTCATCTACATAGTCAAAGTGTCTATGCTGATACAGTTTTCAATACACTTTTAGAATATCTTCTGAAAAACAAATTTCTATTATAGAAACTTATCCAAATTTTCTAGTAGGAAAGAAAATAGAGAATCTGATTCTGTGATACATTTTATGTTATGAACGCGACGGAACATGAAGTGAGATTTCCTTGTGATGTTATTAAAAATGTCTTTTTTTTCATCCAGTAATGTATTCAACTGTAATAATCTCATCCAAATGTCCTTGACACTCGCCAAGGCTGAAATTAGTATCCAATATGAAGGAAGAATCTATAATATTAAATTTGCACCGTTTAATGATTATGAATGAGACTTATTATGCTATGTTAGAGTACAACTCCGTAAAAAGGCAAGACTGTCACTATAAACAAATGAATAGCTCTCATCGCATCATCATTCAATTATGAATAGAAAAAGCTTTCAACAGTAAAACGTGTGTCTAAGAAGAAAGAAGGTAACTGCAATTGTTTTACACTGTCGAGGTCTTTATTCTATATATTATCACTGATTTTGTTGTTATTAGAATAATTATCAATCATATTAGACTGTTTATACTATACAAACGCAACTTCACGGTCGATGCTGCAACATTTAGTTCTGTTTATGAGAATGTCCTTGTATCCATTTTCACTCTCTTTAAAACTCAAACATTGATGTACAAAAAACTAATAAGACAAATCTTGAAAAGCATTTATTAGAAACAATATATTTTTCTTACCCCATTGTGTTTCTTCACTATCTTCGAGATTTTTAACATGTTTTGCATTTACTGTACCATTATTTAACATTTGTAACATACACTGAGTTTTACTAACAACTTTGTATGTGCTTATTAGTTTTTGTCGCTCATCATATGTATCTCGACTGCCTCTTGAACGTTCTAGAAGTATATTGAGAAAATTTTCTGATTGTCGTTCAATAGCGAAAAGTTGTTGTGAGAGATGAGTACGAGTATTGTTCAGAGGTGTATGATGACGATGGTAATGATTATAAGTTTTATCAACTGGAACCATGTGTAATAGTGCGTGAAGTTGATCTAATAGATGGAATGTTAACAGTGTAGTGGTAAAAGTATAAACCGATAAAATCGAGTTTTGAGTAGTAGTAGTAAATCGTCGTCCAACTATGAACATGATGTTCAACCGTCATCATTTTTGGACATTTTTATGATTAATACTGTTGTATGTGGAGACGAATAGTCTGACAATATATTATAAATGAACGGACAAAGTCGCTTCTCAGCAATTTCATTTTCTCAAATGTTCACACATATTAGAAATAATAATTTATCTAAAATTGAGTACAATGTACAAAGTTAAACACTTGCAAGAAAACTGCTTTATTATTTAAAATCATCCACTTACTTAATATTACCAGAAAATGTAAACTTACACTTAATCGAACATTTATTAATGTCGAGAAATAATCAGCTCTATGTGTCTACTATTTCATTTTTACTCTTGTTTACACGTAAAAATATTTAAGCGATTGAAAACAATTAAGTTTTTAAAACTTATTAAAATAATTTTCGAAGCACATTATGATATCTTTTTGAAGATCCCTCTAACTTTGAAAGATTAACGAGATTCTCATTATTAAGATAAATATGTAATTGTTACAAACAAAACGGAAGCAGTATTTTACTCTAGAGATGAAAAAAATCGTAATTGTACAAACTTTATGTTATAGAACAGTTGTAAGAGTCGAAGAAAGAAAGAACTGTAATTTACTGTGTAGTATTTATCGAAATGACAGAATAAAAGAAGAAAAAAAAAATGAAAAATAAAAAAAAAAAAAACGATCCAACCTTTTTCTTTTCTCTTTGTTCAGGATGGAACTCATATGTTTTTCTGTGGTTACAACAGCACAAATAAAAGAAAAAAAAAGTAAACCTATATCACAAAATATATCTTTATGCTGATTACTACTACTACAACTACTGTATACGAAGATTAACTCTGTATTACATTCTTCATATATGCTCAACTTCTACTCGAGTTGCGATTAAAGTATATATATTCATATTTATATAATATAATGAGAAAGAATACACGAACATACTAACTATGGTGTCTTTTATGATATGTATGCGCGCTTGTTGAATATATTCTGTCATTTCTGTATAACTGACTAATGGACGTGAAAGTAGTATATCTGTAAATATCGATGATATACAAAATATTTTAAACAAACAGCTGCTCGAATCAGTTAGAATAAAAATGGCATACAACAAAGATCATGTATCCTTAGAGACCTTGACGACATGTCAGTTCGAAAATATCTGAATAAACTTATTGTTTGTGCTAGACAAAAAATTGAATATTAAAACTACGATTGATAACGATGATTTTTTCTTTTTTTTTTATCATATACTTATTTAACGAATAATTTTAGTTGAACCGAAAAACGGATATATTAATTTTTACGATAGATTGCTGTTCAATTGCGTTCGTATGTCACTCGACCATATGAAGTATAATAACCTGTGTTACTCTGTTATTGATATGTTGTTGTAGCTAACCAGAATGTTTTTGTTTTACTAATAAAAGAGTATGGCTCTATATGACATATAGATTTAGTCGTTGTCTGAAAATGGAAATGTCGACGAAGATAATGAAACAGAAATTTTTTCCTCACATACACACAGAAGTCTATTTCTTACTACATAAATGGGAATGTGTCATACAACATATTTAAATCGACATCATAAATATCGCAAAACAATTTCTTACTGATGTTGGTTTGGAACTGTCTGTCCATATCTCTCTTTTCTTTCGTTAACTTAATAGTTTGAATTATATCGTTTAATAGAAAGAATACTAATAAATATCGCTTGTTGATTGATTCAATTAGAAAGTGAATGTTACGGAGTAAGTTTTATAAAACTGACCAACGTCCTTTTATAGCTAAAATGTTTTTCAATCAGCTCCGTACAATAGAAGAATTATTGATGAATAAATCTCATTATTTTTTTAACATTGATCAACGTATTTTTTACGAATCTGTTTACCAAGTTACAATACAAGACCGATTCCATGAAAGTTGGAGAGATGCTCGCACGCGAAAGTTGCCCGCAGTCTGATGGTTGACTAACAGATTGCAGGATTATTAGTGAACATGGTGATTAGATGATTCTTAGTGAGTATTCGTAATGGGGTGAGCACCTTAGTGAGATCTTGGCCGTTGAGGTCGTATAGTTGACGTAAAACAGTCACTTGACGTACTGTCAATTAACGCGTGGCCCAAAAGAATTATAGTGTTAGTATTTTCAATTTGTCCCTTCTTCCTTATAATTAATTATTCGAGTAAATTTTTTTACCAAAATATGGCGCGTTCAATTCTATACAAAATATGTATTGACTGTTTTGTTGCAAAATCCGAAAGTGAAAAATGAGATGCGAAATCTTATGAAGTATGAAAATTCAGAAAAAATAATGTACTGTCTCATAGATATCTTTTCGAATGGTTTCATAAGCATCAGAACGCGGTTTGAATATACTTTGTGTAGTTTCAAGTGGTCCTCTCTCATAACATGCAACAAAATCTCTTTTAAGCGAAAATATCTGCTGCAAAGATTGACTTATCAGAAACCGGGCATAAACAGCAAATGATTTCGACCTTATCTGCAAAGAATAACAAAGGAAGGATTTGTTTCAAATCTTACCGATTCAACAGAGACTGATCATTGGTCTACAAAATGAAAAAAAGTTCAATCTGTAAGGATCAAGTTTGACTAGACTATACATTTTCCACTTTCGGATTTTCCAATACAACAGTCAATACATATTTTGTAGAGAATTGAACGTGCCATATTTAGATAAAAAAGTTTGCTCGATTAATTATAAGAAAGAAGAGAAAAATTGAAAACACTAACACTATAATTCTTTTTGGACCACCCGTTAGATCATAAAACGGATACCATATTTAGTCGAATGAAGCTGATAACACAGCGTAAACGTTGAACAATTGCCTGAGATAATTGTTGTTTAGCATGGTTTATTTTCATCTGTTATCTTAGTGTCATCGAAATACTTTTTCTGGTACATGACATAAACAACTATTTCGGCCAAATTATAAAAAATAATGAATATTAGTTTATAGAGTCAGCTCATTATTACATAATAAGTACAGAAGATCATCATCAAACAAAAAAATTGTATTAGTTTACCCTATTATTACTCACATTTTAATCGAAATTTAAACGATGTTTATTGTGCAACATTAGTAACGCAAAACTTAATGTAATCTGACTCTCAAATTATTCATACTACGCGAACTGAGTGAATAAGAGACTTATAATAATACAATAGTGTAATGTATAATCTAATATGTTTGAATAGCGCCATGGACATTGTAAGGTATTCCTAGCAATTGACAGTGAAGTGGCTGTACCACTAATGTAACTGTCTGATGTTGGCAATATTTCATTGTTATATCGTACAATGACGAGTATTATCCGTTTTAAAATGCGGTTTACGTGTGGGTTTTTTAAAATAACACTCTAATGAAAAGAGACCGACATACTCGATTTTTGTTGTTTGAAATAGGACACACGTAGAGCACAGATTAATGAAAAACCAAATATATGGTATACTATTTTTCGTCGATCTTTCAAAAAAAACCAAGCTGTCACTGTACAAAAATATAATTAACTAACAACAGAGTGAAATCTACTCTACACAAGATTAACCGATACTAACCGATCTATCGCTTATACAACTGTAGTCCAATTATAAGTTACGAGTTGATCTTAATCAGCTGAAACGTGTCTGTAGAACTAATAAAACAGATACTAAATATTACGAGCCTGGATAAAATTGGGTAAAAGATGATAAAACATCATTTTAATTGATTGGAGTCTTATTAAAAAAAGAACAATTAATAAATACTTTAATAAAAATGGGTAGAAAATTTATTATAACGCGTCATTTTAAAATTAATTTCGTAAAAGTTTAATTTGAAAAAACAAGTAAAATACTTTTTACACTGTTGACCTGTAAAAATAGTAGTGATGTAAGTTATCCAGTAGTTCTCAAGTGAGTCAGATTGTTTTGGAGCAAAATGTACTCTAATTTATACTGACTGCTTATTTTATTTATGTTTTCAATAAAAAGTAGCACAGTCGCAAGCAGTGATGCTCGCGTATCCTTATAAGTAGTGGAATTATTTTGCAGTAAAACATTCATTGGTAGGTTGTAAACAAAGCTTGGTTTATGGAGAAGTCTTCTGCGGTGCTGATCATATAACGAATAGTGGAAGAAGAAGAACTCAATGACTCCAGTTTCACTTCCAGATGCATATAGAGAGGATGAAACACATTGTCGCCTATAAAGATAGTAATTGAGCTGCTGACAATTTGCCCATAAACACAACAGTATTTCTGATCTCCTAGATAGAAACGCCAACAATTCTGAAAATATTAGTTCACTTCAATTAGCTAGAATCAATCTAATATGCTCAACGCTGGTTCGCGAGACGTAGTGCTTAATACTATCATAGCCACATGATACTCAATAGATTTAAGCTTATTTAAATTTATAAGTAGAGGTGTTAGCCGCGCCGCCGACGAAGCAAAGTTTTTTGCAAAAGAATCGTGTGCCGCCGCCCAACATCGAAATTTCCGAGGAAATAAACTCTACGCCTGCCGCCGGTTGTAAATTTCTTTTGCGTTCTTGACGACCAAAAGTCCATCGGCTAACAGCGCTATTTACAAGCATTATCAATTAGTAAATTGTGATATCGTAATCACAGTAAAAACAAAATTTTATTCTCATCTTTTTGAGAAGCAAATCAACTTCTCCTCAAATTTATTCGGCAAGAGATGAACGAAAATGAGTGACTAACTTGAGGTAAGGTGCCCGCAATTCAATAATGCAGCACTATCGTAACTTTCGGTCGAAAGCTACATAGTCGGATAGCCCTAACTGAACTGATTTCGAATATCACCTTTTGATTCAAATTCGATCAAGTTTTCGGGGAGAAATTCTCAAAATACTAAGAGCGCCAGTAGAAG